ACCTAGTATTAGGATGTAACATACAACGAATATAGACATCTACATCTACTACTACATATATTTCCGTTCATGTGTGATGTCCTTTCCCTTAAAACGCTTACAAGAGGTTACCGGAAAAGTTTATGAAACGGCAATCGCAGAAAAAAAATGTATATTAGAAAACCTATACAATAACGCAGATCATCGTCGCAAGACCTCTATGTAGAGTTCGAGTGAACGGTTACTCTGCAATGTCCACAATTAGACATTGTACTAGAATAGTTGCTTCCAAGCTCACCATTACACATTTAACCTTCAAATTCGGGATCCTAATATTTACACCGAGAAATGTTGGACATGTCATAATACCACTTTGTAACCATGACAAAGCAAAAACAAGTATACTACTCTATAAAAAAAAAGACTAATCCTAACAACGAATCTGGACGCGCGCATGGATTGGTCTTATTCCAACTTCACCGCACATCAAACACAGAAACAAGTACATTGAACAATTAAGACACATATACTTTGGTCTTTGTATTTAAAAGAAAAAACAGAGTCCATTTGGAGTTCCGTCGCTCCAAGATAGGCCAGGACAGTTCTATGAGAGGAGAGGACCTGCGGAAGAAGAGAGCGAAAAAGCTCATAGGAGCAGTACTTGACCCCCTTTTTCTCCGTGAGGAGGATTCGCCGTTTCGGGCTGGCTTTCGGCAGTGTTTCGCTATCTTGGATGCGGACGGTTGGATTGGATAGCGAGTGGGGGTGGATAGATCTGCGAGGAAGAACAACAGATGCTGTTCGCGGACAACAATGGAGGACAGCATCCGTTGTTGTTTCTCCTCACGGATGATCACATGAATATACAAGAGCCATGTCAAACAGTTTCCCTGCAAGAAAATGATGTCACACGGTCGTTTTCTGTACCCTTTCTCTGCACCTGAATGGCGCACACAACTTTGCGCTATCAATCTACTATAGCCGTGATTAGTTCCTCCTTCAAATTTTTTTTAACGTATACGGATGCACATTTGAAGTATTAAATATAGACTAATAACAAAACAAATTATAGATTTCGCCTGTAAATTGCGAGATGTATTTATTAAGCCTAATTAATCTGTTATTAGCAAATGTTTACTGTAGCACCACATTGTCAAATCATGATGTAATTAGACTCAAAAGATCCGTCTCACAATTTTACATGCAAACTGTGTAATTGGTTTTTTATCAACATTTTAATGCTTTATGCATGTGTCTAAATATTTAATGTAACGGAATTTTTGAAAGTTTGAAGAAAAGTAAACAGAACTTATAATGTACTTCCACATGCAGCTAGACGAACCATTTCCGACAGACGGTTACATTGCATTTCCCTCACATTTCCACACGTTCAAACTGGACCAGACAGCTAGACAAGGATTGGGCCTTTTTTTTTTCTTTTCTGAGAACGGATTGGGCGATTGCCCATAACCTCTACGAGATAATCCAAAAAATACCATTGACAAATATCCAAATACAAGAAATATCATTGACAAGCACCCAAATACAAGAAATGCTATCGTACAAGTGTGAGGAATACAAGAAATCCCAAGAAATACCATCGTACAAACGATTTTTGTCCTAAAAATACTATCGTTGTTAGGGTTCCATCCATTTTGCACTGTTAAATACATTGTTTATCCTATAGCACTTAACGACGCGGAATGGACGGAACCCTGACGGCGATGGTATTTTTGGGACAAAATCGTTTGTACGATTGTATTTCTTGGAGCTCATATTTGTCGATGATATTTTTTGGATTTGGATGCTTGTCAATGACATATTTTAGATTATCTCTAACTTTATTTGATTGTCATCCCGCTGTCTATAACATGTGGGCCCTCATGTGTCTATGACATGTGGGTCCAGTGGTAAATAATTTAGCACTATTTATAAGAGTGGCAAATAGTTAATTATTCGATGGTAGCTAGGTACTAGTACCGTACTAGCAATCCGGTGTGAACGGCGGCAGGGCACGAGTATGAGTATGAGTATGAGTACATGTTTGAACGGCATATTTTCCGAATATGCCACACGGGTTCCTTTCGCTTGCGTGGCCCCCGCCCTTCAACCGGTGGGCTCTGTTGGGCTTTTCGCCGTGCCCGAGTTGTCCAGCCATGACCCAATGCCGCAACCGCAATGCGTGCACTTTGAGCGCCATGAGCAAGGAGCTCTGTATGCCTTGAGGGTGTGTGTGCAAGGAGAATCCCCTCTCCGTGTGCGACATGGCGCTCAAAGTGCACGCATTACGACGTTCCCCAGTGCACACAAGATGGATAAAATACGAGTAATGCATGGTTGTAACACGTGACATTTGCTTCTCTCTTTTTTTTTTTTTTGAAACTCTAGTGGGACAAAGATTGTGATCTCCAAACTATAGTACTGCAATACGAGGCCAACATGCAGCACCAGAAAAGCAAAACTGTATAGTATTGTAGAAACGGCATGGGCACATGACAAGAAACTGTGGCTAGCCTTGTTCACACCAGGCATCGTGATAAGAAAGGACAAAACTTTCGTTGAGAAAATTTCACTTCACTTCGCTTTTGGCAGAAACCATCCTCCATCCAGGAAACAAGTTGCAAAAATCATATGGCAATCGAACCGGCCGTGTTGCTCCGGGCGAGACTCTGGTGGCTGTAACTATAGGGTCTTTTTTCTTCGCGAAAAGAAAATTTTTAGGTGTCATATCGGATGTTTAACAAATGTCGGAAGGGGTTTTCGGACACGAATGAAAAAAATTAATTTTATAACTTGTCTAAAAACCACGAGACGAATCTGTTAAGTTTAATTAATCCGTCATTAGCACATGAGGGTTACTGTAGCACTTATAGCTAATCATGGACTAATTAGGCCCAAAAGATTCGTCTCGCGATTTCTCCCCTAACTGTACAATTAGTTTTTTTAATCTATATTTATTGCTCTATACATGTGTCCAAAAATTTGATACGATGTTTTTGGAAAAAATTTTTAGGGAACTAAACCATGCCTATCAAACAATCACTACAACTTTCGCTAGGCTATGCCTCTTACGATAACGAGCCCGAGGAGATGACAGTTGCTGAAATGCTGATGGACGGCAAACCACAATCAAGGCCCTGTTTATAGCCCACCCCAAAATTTTACATCCTATTACATCGAACGTTTAAACACATGTATAAAGTAATAAATATAGCTTAAAAAATAACTAATTGCACAGATTACGACTAGTCTGCGAGACGAATCTTTTAAGCCTAATTTCTCCATAATTTGATAATATGGTGCTACAGTAAATATTTACTAATGATAGATTAAGTAGGCTTAATAAATTCGTCTCGCGGTTTACTAACAGATTCTGTAATTAGTTATTTTATTAGTGCCCGAACACTTTATAGCCCTAGATCTAAACACCCCCAAAGCTGTGCGATCCAAACTCCCAGACCCCTCAAATATGGTACTGCAAGTCTGCAACTAAAGACAGGAAAAAAAAATAACTCGAACATTGGATAATAACGAGTGCCAAGACAAAAGGCTCGTGGCCTTTCCATCACAGGCGAATGTTGGAAAGGGGAAGAGCGAAGCAGAAAAAAGAGTACTCAACAGCCCCACCCCACTTAGTAGAAGTACCCCATGATAGCAAAGTATTCCCTCCATCTACTTTTGATAGTCATATTTTATCTTGTCACACAGACTAAGGATAAGTAATTCTAATTATCATCCATTTAAACATGCTACTAGTCATTCCTCGTAAACAAGCGATTCATTAATATTTATATTTCTCAATACCCATGTAGCCAATCGTGTGTGGAAGAATGGATAGTTATGCATTAAATCCGAGAAAGTCATTAAGATGATAGTTTATTGTATTGAAATATGCCTATCAAAAATATTTTTTTCAGATTTGGAAATATGACTATCAACAATAGATGGAGGGAGTACTACGATAGATTTTCTGTTATCTGTGTGGGCCCTTTCCAAAAGGTTGCTTTCCAAAACATGGCTGGAGACTGCCCTAGCAATTCACTTCAACGAGATGATGTTCAAGTTCAACAAAAGCTTTGTATTTCTCGATCACATAAATTTGGCAAATGGGATGAGGCAAACACGACGAACCAAAAAGGCATTTATCTAGTGATAGACACTAAACCACAATCAAGCTAGTGATCCAAACTCCCAGAGCCTTCAAATGTAATATACAAATTAGTCCTTTGATGAGGTATCTAGCAAAGAACAATGGACAAAACGAGTGCCAAAAGAAAAGGCTCGTGGCCTTTCTAGTTTCCAACTTTCCATCACAGGCGAAGGTTCGAAAGGGACCGGACAGAGCAGAAGCAGACGAAACTCCGGGTTGAGTACTTCCTCCGTCTCATTAAAAACCAATCAGTATCAGACGTGACACATTATAGTACTACGAATCTGAACATACATATGTCCAGATTCATCGTACATGTCACTTTCGGTTCTAGATTCGTTTTTTATGGGACGGAGGGAGTAGGCACTAGCAGTAGTAGCGCAATGATAGCGAAGAAAGGTTTCCTTTACGAAACATGGGTGCATGCAGAATTCACGAATGGTACTGGTCTACTAGTACTAGCAGTAAGGCCATCACAGTGAGTCATCAAGTTTTGATGTTCCACAAGACCACATACAAGTAGCTTGTAGTGGGTCCCACCAATACTACTTTCCCCTCCCCCCTCTCTCTCCCCCACTCTTCCTTTCCCCACCGCAGGAGTCGGGCGGAGACAGAGGTCGCGGAGGTCGGGCGGTCCGGCCGGGCGGCGGATCGTGGGATCAACCTTGGACGGCAGCGGCATGCGCGGCGGCGGGCGGCGGCGTCGGTCAGCACCCTCCTCCCCTGGCCAGCTCGCCGACGAGTCCTACCGCGCCATCATCCCCGGTCGCCAAGGTGGTCGGACTCGCTGTCACGGCTGCCGCGGGAGTCGGCGCCTCCGCTGCCGCCGTTCTCAAGAGCCCTGCCACGGGAGTCGGCGCCTCCGGCGCCGTCCTTCCCTCCCCGGTCGACGCCCTCCTCCCCCGGCCGACGCCTTCCTCCCCTGGCCGGCGCGCCGAGGACGCTGCCTGCCATAGTCGACACCAAGGCGGCGAGCTCGATGAGGCCGGCGACGTCCTCAACTTCTTCAGTCCCCTCCCCTCCCCCTCGCTTCCGGCGGCTGTCGAGCTCGCGGCGGCGGGGATCGACGTCGGTGGGCGGATCGAGCTTGCCGGCTCCGGAGGTGTCCTCGCCGCTAATGGCGACCCGTCGAGCTCGGGTGGTGGCCTCGCCGGCGACGACCACCACCACCTAGCATGGGATGTGGGAGCATGGCAGGGGAACCGCCGCCACGGCCGGTGGTGAGGTGGAGTGAGGTGTAGACGCTGCTATGCACGATGATTGAGGAATCACTGACAACTTTGATGGAATCGCTGACAACTTTGACGAGGAACGTGGAGCTTTCTTTGGCTCCGCGTTCTTCAGTTTCTAGCGTGAGAAGTGCACGTGGCTGGGAATCTCTGATGTTAAAGGGGGAAGCCGAATGCCATGTCACGCACTGTGAACGCCCTAATATATTCCATTTCTTGCCCATTCCTTCAACGAGATGATATCCAGTTCAGCCCACTGACCGAGACACTACTCCAAAGAGAGAAGCAAACACGAACCCAAAGCACATTGTGTACATACACCACCGCACTACCGAGTACCGAGTACGTTCTCCCAGCGTAAAATGCAAAAGGATGAAACGCACACCACTTTAGTATTACGCCCTCAAGAAAACAGAAAAAAACAAGTAGCACTCGACCACTCGTGTCGCCAGTGCAGGACTCGGTCACGGCGATCGGGCGATGTGAATCTTCAGAGTCAACAGGCGCAGCCGAAGACACGACGCGGACATGCGTCGACGACGACGACGAGCGGGACGGCGAGGAAGAAGGCAACCGCCAAGGCCGTAACCATGACCATCTTGTGGGAGCGTTCCGTGGCCGGCGTCGTGGCAGCGTCCGGCGTCGCGGCCGCATGTTTCGCCTTGCGGAAGCGGAGGACGAGGATCGTGGTGCCGACCACGGTGGCAGCGGCGACGCCGACGACGGGCACGGTGGCGAGCGGAGCAAGGAGGCGCTGCGATGGCGCGTCGAGGATGCCGACCGCGAGGCGCCAAGGGGCAACGAGGACGAGGCAGATGGCGGCGAGGGACACCGAAAGGGTCGGCTTGATACCGCGCTCCGTGGCGGTCGCGGCAGGGGTGGCGCCGGCGCCGGCTCCACCGTGCGCATTCGGAAGAAGCACGCCGCGGACGCGCGAGGCGCAGGCGCCCACGACGAGGGCGACTCCGGCGAAGGCGAGCGGGACGAGGTGCCCGGACTGGAACAATGGCAGGACGAGCAGGGACGCGGAGACGAGGAACGCGACGGCCAGGGAAACCACCAGCGTCATCTGCGCGAACGGGTCATCAGCGACCGCCGCACCCGCTGCGCCGCGCCCGGCACGGGCCGCGCCGGGCACAGCGCGCGGTTTGCGGAAGAAGCGCGCGAGAAGCATGGTGCCGAGGGCGGGCGCGGTGACCGCGGCGATGACGAAGACGGCGATGAGGATGTCGACGAGGGGGCTCTTCCCGGCGAAGGCAAGCAGGAGACGCAGCGCGTCTGGTCCGCCCAGAGCGCCCGCGCCCATGGCCACGACGATGATGTTCCGAATAACTCGAGACATTGGGGCTCACCGCCTCAGAACTCTGCTCTTCCTTGTGCTCGTTGGCCTCTCTCTGTTTTTTCTTTTTTTTTTTTGGCACCGTTGGCTTCTGTTTGATTCACGATTCTCGCCTACAACCGCAATAATATATAGTATGTGGAAGGGTATCTGCTTGTGCGTTTCTTTTTTCTTTCTTTCTTTTTTTTTTTACATGTGTGCTTTTGCGTTTCTGGACACACTCACCACACATCATCGCCGCCGGCAGAGGCTGGGCGGGTCGTTATCATGCCAGCGTGGTCCCCTTGGAGATCCAAACGATTCGACCAATTTCATGTATGGACACGTTGATATACGGGTAGTACAAAGACGGTGAGGACCGGAAGTGATCGCGATTCGCGAGTTTCCTTTGAATCGATCCGTAACGTACTCCACAGGGCCGAAAATGATCGTGATTCGGAATTCGCAACAGCTCGTTGCGGTGACAAACCGGACTACATAACTGAGTTGCCATTGATTGCGTATTTTGCGTCGTAGATCTCTGTTTCCTCGCAATTCGCAAGATAGGTACTCTACTCCTTACATCCAAAAACTTCTTCATTTCTCATTATCTTTATCCTAAAATAGTTTCATCTTTCAAAAGTCATTCCATTGTTGTTTGTAAAGGTGAAGGATAAATATACCGAGGCTAGATAAAATTGCATTGAGATTTCTTACTTTGATGATAAACAAAATTATTTTGGTTTTAAAAAAAAATAAACAAAGCTATTTTGAAATGGAGGTAGTAGCATTGTTGATGATAAAGCGGTGACACAATAGGCAGTAATATGTTGCTCCTCCACTGTTTCCCGCGAGAGTGTGCCATTGTGCAAGTTATTTAATTACGGATGACATTTTGGACACGCCATTTTTCTTCATTTCCCCCCTTCTCCCTACTGCACTTTACCTGTTAATTGTAATGATAAGGAGAAAAAGGAAAAGAAATCACAGTTATATAGGCTCTGTTTAGTTGATGGTAAAGTTTAGATTTTAGTTGAAATTGGAGATGATGTGACTAAAAAGTTGTATATATATGACATGTTAATATGATGGAAAAAGACTGAAGTTTGAATTCAAACTTTGGATCTAAACACAGGCATAGTCGAGAATTTGGGGATGGCGTGTTCACACTTCACACGCCCAAGTAATTTATTCGGTCAGTGAGCTGGAGAAGGAAGCAAATTACGTTTGGCCATCCCATCTTTCCAATTTCGATGACCGAGAATCTGAGATGCAATCCTGCTACTTTCACTCAAGACGGTATGTTTTCCGAGGACGGCTGTACGTTGCTGATGACTAGTCTTGTTCATCCTCAGTCGCCGTAAAGGAAATTTCACTTCACTTTGCACGTTGCTTTTTGGGTTAAAATCAAACCATGAGAATTTGATGATAAGAGCAAGGCTAATAGTGAAAAGTAGTAGTCGGCGGTAGTACATGTTCAGGTCATTTAAAGTTAATACTGTATATTGTTTATATAAAAGATTGGCTCTAGAGTCTAGATGTGCTTTACGGAAGCAAGAATAGGTTTAAAGTCAAGTGCTATGGTAGATGTGACTATCACCTCTAAATTTATCTATTTTATTCAATCATGAACTAAGAGGCAACCCATACAATGTATCACCTCTAGTACACAAATACCAATATATCTAATACTCTCACATCTTTCTTGAAATTTGTGTGGAGGTTACCTCTTGATTTAGGGGTGGCTCATCATCTCTCTCCTCACTTCTCTCCTCCACATCATCACTTAATCCAATGTGGCATTCTTAGGGATAATATATGGGTCATTATAGTACTTGCCCTAATTGTTACATGTACAGGTGATCAAAACTAAACTCCATCTCTGTAGCCCATCCTGCTTCAGCATGAAACTAAACTAGTACTTAAAATCACACAGTATGCATATGCACATAAGATCAAGTAACTGAACTATAGACCCACCAAGCGAATAAAATATTTCATCTTGCCTAATTTACCGTGCTATCGTCCGGCGCTTGCAGAAGCGCTCGTTTCGCTCTCTCTCATGCTTTCTCCCTCCACGTATGATAATACTGATGTGGTGGTTCCTAGCGCCAGCTGAGTTCAGTACTATTAGAGCAAGTTCAATAGTATAGCCAACTACTAGCTCCAATTCATCTATACCAATCTAATAGCTCATTCATACAATAGTTACATACTACACTATTAATACCTGGTCCCACCTGTCATACACACACTATGTCTTGGAGTCCGTGCTACAGCTGGCTACAAATATGTAGCCCGTTGCCCTTCTCTCTCCTCATTTATCTCCTTAAAATATGTTTGCAGCTGGCTTATAGCCTGCTATTGTACCTGCTCTTAGGGTATTTACAATGCAAGCTATGGGACCCATAGCCTTAGCCTCAAAACTTGGTCCAAGGACACCCTTCCCACAGTGCAAGCACCCATAGTCAGGGTACCAAGCCTACAGCCGGTGGGCCCCACGAAAAGGAATCGTCACATTGAGTACTACTCGCGCGGACCGATTCGTCCTCCTTTCCCGAACAGCCCTCGCGCGCCTCCTCGAGTACTACTCACGCTGCCTCGCCTCCTCCTCCCTCTCCGCGACGCCGATGGGAAGCGGTGGCGAGAGTCGTCCCCGGCGGAGGCGGCTGGCGCGGCGGTGGCGAGAGGTGTCCCCGGCGGCTTGCGCGGCGTTGGTGGGAGGCGTCCCCGGCGGAGACGACTGGCGCGGTGGCGGCGGGAGGCATCCCCGGCGGCAGCGGCTTGCGCGGCGTCGGCAGGAGGCATCCCCGACGAAGGCGGCTGGCTGACGAGACGGGTAGGAGGAAGGAGGCAATGGACGCCGTTCTTTTTTTTTTGTTCGTTTTTGTTCTTTAGATTCTTGATTTGTTTGCACCACCTTGATTTCTTTGGGTTCTTTATTTGTTTCCCCACCTTGATTTCTTCCGGTTCTTGATTAACAGGCGTGGATTTGATTGGGGAAATCTTGCGATATCGGTGGAGCGGATGAATCGGTGGTGAATCGGGAGAGGATTTTTGAGGGCGAATCGGGGATTTCGCGATGGGATTCGGCGCGAGGGTACGACACCTCTGGGTCACGTGCTCCACAGCGCACGGAGCTTGCTACGCGTGGACTCGCTGCGAGAAAGTTCCTCGCGTCTTTACTTGGGGCCAAGGGGCTCAACTAGGGCGCGCGACCTTGCTCCACGCAAGCACAAATCCTCGTTGGCGTGGTATAGCACCGGTCTATGTCACTACACTGTGAGAGGCCTTATACCTGCTCTAACAGGGAAAGAAAAAACCTCTGCGGCAATCATATGCCTGTTGCAATGCTACCCACGGCCACCCCACCATAGACTGTTTTTCGTTTTAAGGTCCACTGTTACTATTTTTTTTTTTACCCGGTGATGATTATACCACAATCAAGCTGATGGTCCAAACTGAAAGAGGCCCCAACGATAGTGGAGTATCTGTCAAGAATTAATATAAGACAAAACTGGCGCCACAAGAAAAGATAAGAGTTCTCGAAAAAAAACCAAGAAAAGGTACACGAAAAAAAAAAGAAAATATAAGTCTCCAAAGCTTCGGAATGGAAATAAAGGTACACGTACACGAAAGTTGGACCGAGATGCAAAGAGCAGAAGAAGAATGATGCGAAGTGTTCCAAATAAAATCGACCTTTGCACAAAAAGTTCCAACCGAGCACATCGTAGAGTTGAATGATGTGTCACCGAGAAAAAAATCGACTTACAGATAGAAGTTGAGCACAAGCAAATAAAAAAAATTGTCAAGTTGCACGAGGGGGCGGTGGACACGGATGAGACTAAGGCGGAAATGCTAACGCCCGCGCTGGCCCCTTCCATGTACTATTGCCTTCCTCTTCTTCCCCTTCCTCCTCCCCTTTCACTACAGGACACCACACAATTTTTTTAAAAAAACAAAAGTTAGAAAAAATTTATGTATAGAAATACTATATACAAAAATTTTAAATTCAAATTCAAATTTGAATTGGTATGTAAACTTTTGACTTATAAACTTTGGGTCTATAAACTTTAGATGTATAAACTTTTAGATGAATAGAAATATTATATATAGAAAATATTTGAATTCAAATTTGAATCGGGTATGTAAATTTTTGACTTATAAACTTTGGGTCTATAAACTTTAGGTGTATAAACTTTAGATGTATAGAAATACTATATGTCAGGGTTATGTACACCACATACCTAATAGTAGTTGACTAAATCTCGGCAGGACCCACCATATACCATGTCCTATACGGAAACAACCTGCAGATATAGGAGGAGTTCCGGATAAGGAAAGACAACCAGAGTTCTACATGGAAACGACAAGAACTACTCGGATTGTATCCATATTGGTTTCCCTAGTTCTACTTGGACAAGGGGACACCTATCGGTATAAATACAAGCCCCCCTAGGAGTACAGGGGGACAACCATGATGAGACGATCAACACGATCAACACCCACCATGACGAGACAATCAACACCCAACACAATCAACATAGAAGCCACAACATACAAGCCAACATACTCTAAGACAAGACGCCGGATATCGACTTCAGAGATAGGCATGGCTATTCCCCTACGGTGTCTCCGGATACCATCAGGAGAGACGAAAACGCTATCTCTGATCTCGCCGGGCACGGATTCGAGGAGGAAGGCTACCCTGTTGTCGACTACGAGTCAGATCTTCAGACCAATATGTCGACAACAGTTAGATAGGCTACCCCACATATTGTACTGGTGTGATTATGGTGAATAAAAGCAACTCCGGCTCCGGCCAACAGTATGTAGGGTTATTACCTGACAGCTCAAGGGCCCGAACCTGTATAAAAATCCTCGTCTCCATCTCTTTTACCTCAGTCTCGTGTATATCCTAGCACCAACGATCCCCATACTGTCCAAATACCGTAGTTGAGACATCAAACGTCGACAGTGGCGTGCCAGGTAAGGGGATTTTGGTGCTCTAGGATTTCAACGAGATAGGTTCAAAAGACGAATTCTCCGACAACAAGCTACTCGATGACTTCGCTGTGGGGAGATCTAACCCGACCAAAATATGTCTCCCGATGAGATCAGAACCATCGTCGTCAACAACTCGATCTCTCGAGATCGACCAAACTTCAAGACATCGCTGCCG